CACTTTTTTTTTTTTTTTTTCCATATCCTTGGTAAATTATAGTATTAACTTGTAGTCTGGGGAACAATGACTCACGCAAGCTCTTTTTATGATCTTTTCCAATGTAATTTAAAATGAAAACTCCTCCACCTGATGGCTTTAAACGAGGAGAAATGTGTTATTACCCACAGGGATACAAACACCTGGAGAATTCATCAGGAGCAGCAGACACCACCGGCTGCCACCTCCTCCTGCCCATGGGGTGGTGGGCTGGGGCGGGGGGCACCCTGAGCCCCCCCTTACCTTCACGACCAGGCTGTGCACGCTGTGGGCTCTGCGCTGGGGGGACGTGTGCTGCCTGACGGCTCTCCGGGACACCTGCACCGTCCAGAGGATCAGCGAGTAGGAGACGAGGATGAGGAGGCAGGGGAGAAGGTAGCAGAAGATGAAGAGGGCAAGGATGTAGAGCGTGGCCTCCCTGCTCGAGGCTTTCCAGGTGATGCAGCAGGCTGTCCCGTAGGGCTCGGGGCCGTAGCTGCCCCACTCAGCCAGGGGGGCCGTGGCAAACATCAGGGCATAGACCCAGACACACAGCAGCAGCACTCCGGCGTGGCAGGGAGAGAACTTGTTGCCTGTGACAGAGGGACCGGGGTGAGGATGGATGCCCACAGGTGAGGGGGAGTGGAGAGAGGGGCTGTGACCCCAAGCTGCCAGCACTGGGGACAAGACCAGCCACCCTGGGACACGGCCAGGGCCACCACAGGACAGGGCAGGAGCTGCTGTGCAGAACATGGCAGTGCTGCAGCCATAGACCAGGTGGATTCATGCCTGTGCTCTCCCCAGAGCCTCAGGAGATGTGGGCATCCTCCCTTCCCCTTGGGCGGGCAGCCAGAGCAAGAGGCCAGGAGACAGGGAAGGGTTTGCCCCAACCCACGCAGCAAGTGGTGGGATCAGCACCCTCTCAGCTACGGGAGGAATCGCTGGGAGGTCGTGTTGCTGCTGGTGTATGGGGGGGACACACTGCACCCACAGCCCCACGGGGGTACGGGAGCACCCACAGCCCCCCAGGAAGGAGGGAGGGAGGCTGCCTGAGCATGGGGCAGGGAGAGCTGGCTCCAGGAGTGCTCAAAGCCATTCCAGACACTGTCATTTGAAGGACCTTTTTCCTCTCCGGGAGACTGAAGCACTGGAGGAGGTGGATTTTTTTTCCCTTTTTGTCCCATCCCCCATCCAATCTAAAACTCTCTGATCTTCTAAGAGCTCAGTATAAAGTGCTAAATCTTCAGCCATACATAGGAATAACATTTTGCTTTGAAACTAAGCAATTAAAAGCACATGGAGATTAGCCATTTCCTCACAGAAAATGGGCTGGGGCATCCCAGGGAGATAAGCTCCCCGTGCCAGGCTGCCAAGCACTGGCTGATCTAGAGAGAAGAACCTGCACGGGGAAAAGCCACCGGTACCTGGGCTGCCTTTTAACAGCCAACTTTTATCTTTATCTTTCCTTCCACCTTCTCAGTGATCTCCTGAGGTGTTGTGCTGGCACATAACCAAGGTGACTCGTCCCCAGCATCGTCCTTGACGCGCTGTGAGCTGCTGGGGACAAAGCACGTTGGCAGCAGCCACAGGCTGGGGCAGACGGGCAGCAAGCCATGGGAGAGGGGGTGAGGATGCACCCTGGGGTGCTGGTCCACAAATCAAAATAATATTTTTGATTTCCCATTTTATTTCTATTTTTTTGGTCTTTAATCCAAAATCTATTCTGAAGATACACGCTAAATGGGAGAATTAGCAGCTGAGCTGAGGAAATTAAGAAGCAACTCCAAATAAGAGGAGCTGTAGACATGTAGGGGACATCTCTGGGTCCCCTCGCCTCCTCAGGTGCTCTCTGCACTGCACGCCCTCTGCAAAGAGCTGGTGCCCAAGCTTTGAGCTGCAAACATTCACATTAGGTCTGTGGAGGAAGTCCAGGTGCAAATAGGACTACAGAATTGAGCTGTAACACTGCAAACCCAGCCCTCCTCTATTAATTACTTCAGTGAATTAAATACATTTGGCCTATGGCTTTCCCACCAGGGACCAGGGAAAGCAGCTCTTCCTTGCACTGCCAGAGCTCAGGGCTTCCCAGACGCAGTCTCTGCTCTAGTCTAAGCTCAAGCCTGTGTACGGACGTTCAAAACCTGCTGTGATACAGCAGCTGGGACTTTTCTACAGAGCAGAGGGGGGACAACCCCCTTATCACTTCTGGATGATGCTCCTGAGCCCTGGAGCGAAGCAGGGGATGGCTGAGGTGCATGCACAGGGCATGGGCAGAGGGGTACAGGCTACTGGGGCTACAGAGCCTCACGAGGGTGGAAGGAGGTGAATACACAAGGGATAAAAACCTTCAGAATGTGCTGCACCAGCACAGGAATAGGTTGCCCTGGGGCAAACCTTTCCCAGAAGAGGTGGATCAGACCCATTATTAAAAAAAAAAAAAAAAAAAAAAAAAAAGGGTTATGTGAACAGAAAGGGGTGTAAGTATAGATCAAATAACACACCCCAGCACCTACCATATGCTGGGTAACAGACCTTCAGGCAGCAAACCGTGCTGAGCACCGTCAGGCTGGTGAGGCTGCACAGCCCAAACAAGACCCCGCAGAAGGCGTAGAGGGTGCAGACCGCCTGGTTGAAGAGCCACCTGCAAGGGAAAGTCTGTGGGGACACCCAGCCCTTCCCCTCTGCCCGGGGCGGCCGGCTGACAGCCCTGCTGCTCGGCTGGACGGGACCTTTCTCCGTGGTCCCTGCTCTGCAGGAAGGCTGGGTGCTTCCCAGCCCACTCCCCTTGCTGCAGTGGTGGTGGGGCCTCAGCCACTGGTCCCACACCAGAAGCAAAGCCAACCATGTGTGGGGTGGCTGCATGATACTGGTGCCTGACTGGCAAAGAAAGCCTGAGCATGATCTTGCCCCAGATTTGTTCCCTGAGCATCCCAGTGACAGGCACGGACGGAGCCGTGGGTGCAGGAGCTGCCCTGATCCACGCCGGAGCACACCACTGCGGGGTCTGTGCCATGGGGGTGCCAGCTCAGAAACCCAACACCAAACCCCTTGTGCAGCAGGTCTACGTGGTAAACCAGAGGGATGGGGAACAGCAAAGCAACCTGCAATGGGATGGATGTCTGGGAGGTTACACAGTGCCCCGATGCCACCAGACTGACTCCTTGGGTCCCCACAGACCCCTGTCAGGGATCTCCCCATTTCAAGACAAGGTTTGCAAACTGCACTTGGGGCTGTTGGCCAGTGCAGAGCCACTTCTACAAGGTACCTGTGTGCAAAGAAGGAGGAGGTTGCCAAGGGGAAAAGCGTCACTGTCATGCTCAGGTCACTGATGGCCAGGTTGACGATGAAGAACTCGGCAGGCTTCAGCATGGACCTCTTCTGATAGGCCACCAGTAGGAGCAGTGAGTTCCCAGAGAGGGACACGATGCCTGTGGAGAAGGCAGAGGAACAGTGCTGTCTGTAACAGAGCTGGGAAAAGAGCCAGGATCATCTTGAGATGTTTGGAAACAAACACCGGAGATGTCTACAGAGGGTGGAAAGGGCTCCAGGCTTCCCTCTCCAGCACAGGCTGAGCAGGGGAGCCCACAGGACCTGCAGAGCTCTGTGAGGACATCTGGACCAACTTTATATTGAATCTGATCCCTTCTGGAGATCCTACAGAGGCGTTTGGTAGGAGGGCAGTGATGGGATGAGACTGCAATAGACTCCGGGTGCAGGATCTGGCCAGACTCACTTCTTCCAGCTGGAAGGAGCAAGGGGGGCACTTCCTTCCAGCTACATAAATAACAGGAGCTTTGTGTGATTGCTCTTCTGATGTCAGGCCAAGGAGCTGGGCCCCTTTGCCTTTTTAATTTCTTTCTGGCAATGTCACTCCTGTGAGTCTGGGTTGTCCAATATCACAGTAACAAAATAAACAAGAAGAAAGGCATTATGAAGATCAAGGAAAATCCAGACTAAACAAAAGAAGGCTCTTTGTTTGCTATTAGTGTATTTAAAACAACAGTGGTGATTAAAATTTTATAACAAGGGCTTTCTCTCTTTTTTTTAATTATATAATTGTGCTTTCATTGGAAAGAGGTTTCAGTGTCCTCAGAAGGGGAATCTTTGCTGCTCTTGGAGCAGGTTGGGTAGGATGAGAGTTCCTCCCTAATGGATTAGGCTGTAAATTAAATATCATGGTAAGAACCAGCTTCCAAAGCTGCTGAATGGCCAACACTAAAGTTCCTCTCAGGAACAGGATTCCCATGCAAGACCTGGCCAAACCCAGGGCTTTGGAGTTGCTGGAGGGCAGAGTACTGAGATGTTTGTCCTTGTTCCCAGCCTCATGAGGCATTTTTCCCACAGAGCTAGTCTCACATCTGTACTAAGTACATTTGATTAGCTTTACTAACCCCTAGGAGCTGTAGGTGCCTATAGTCTGCTGGCATTCCCAGTGGCACAAGCATCCCTTGGATCCGCCACCCTCCCAGGCATAAGAAACCTTCCAGCATTTGGGAGATAACTTGCTCAGGGCTCAGAAAACTGGAAGGATTTTCTCTGCCCATCAGTCACTTCTGGCCCACACCAACCAGGGCTAGGCCACCTCAGAGCACGTCCCAGCCCCGCAGTTTTGCCCGCTGGCTCTCTGGTGCCACGAACTCCAAACCACAGAACATTCACCAGCATCTTCTGCTGAAAGCAAGGGCCAGCTGGAGGTCCAAACCACCTTCAGTAGTCATGAAGCTGGCAATGCTAACAGAGTCCCTATCACATCAGGTGGCTGCAGTAGGAGGTACTGCACGTTCCTGAAAGATTGTTTTTCGACTTCCAAATATTTGAAAAAATGAGTGGTACTTGCAGTTCCCCTGAGAGGGGAAGGCAGTCACCAAGCTTTGGCCAGATCATCCTTTTGAGTAACATGGGGAGGGCCAATGTGGCAAGGACCAGTTTGATGTTCTGCCAATGACTGAACACTTCTGGAAGCATCAGTGACTGCAAAAGGCCTGAATGTCTCTAGCAGGCAGACACCTGGGCTGCCCACAGCAGGGGGACAGGCATCATGGGGCTGTCTTTCCTTACCAAAGACTAAATAGAGCGTGCCAAAAATCAAATCTTCTCTCTCCGATAAGGTGGAGATGAACACCGAGGCATTGGACACATTCCCCATCTGCAAAGCAAGATACAAATACAAGTGAGAGTGAATTTTGGCTAATCAAGGAGTGCTCAGCTTCCTCATTTCCCGGGGGGGGGGACACAGTTCAGCAACACTCTCCTGGCACTGTACAATAACCAAGCCAGCAGCGTGCAGGCCCTGACCCCACCACTGCAGGAGGTGGCTTCATTAAGGCTGTGTGCAGCCCTGGCCCGACCGGCTGGGCAGGGGGGCCCTAATAGGATCAGGCTGGTAATCTCTCTTGATTGCCATTCCTTCATTTACAGATTTTACTGATTAGCATTAGCCTTTGGATCTAAATTTTCTTTGCCGGTCTGGGCCATGCGCTGGCTGCAGCAGGCGCTGTGCGTTTGGATGCGGGGACCAGCTGTTGAGAGCTGGAACCTTCATCTTCTGCAAAGTCCCACACCTCCTCCTGGCCTGCCCCATCCTTTGCGTGCCTCTGCCTGTCCCCGTGTCCACATCAGCAGAAAGACTTGGCCCAAGCTCTCTTTGTGATGCAGCCAAGACCTGTCCAGGTGCCATCCTGGCGGCATATTAATTGTTTCTGCTGTGAGATGTGTGCTGTGGGTGCTGAGAAGCGCCCAGGCAGACACAGGGCAAGCTGTTCATCAAACCCCAGCCCAGGAGACCCCACAGCTGGGGACAGAAAAGAACTGTCACCCCAAACCCCATTGCTCCTGGCTGGGACCTCCCTTCTCCAGCTGTAACTGAATGTGACCCACGCTGCCAGCAGCGCAAGCAGTGGAGAACATCAGGGTGAACACATGTATTAACAACAAAAAGAAATAGTAGTAAAAAGTCATTCCCTTTCTCAGGGTGCCTGACTCAATCATTGAGTTTTATCGGCCTAATTAGTTTCCCTGTTATTTCGTGCAGCTGAGCCAAAGGTTCCCAAGTGCTTGGGAAGTTAATAGGGGGTAGTAGAGCAGAACAGCAGACGTGTTTCAGTATATGCCCTCCCTTCACTGATAACAAATAAATGGAAAAATATTTTGTTCAGGTGAAGGAACAAAAAAAAAAAAAAAAGAGGGGCGAGAGAAAATAATGGTTTAATTATATGTTTCAATAGCTGTTAGCTTGCTTGCTGGGATGTTTAATGCGTGCAGTATTCCTGCCTCCATTCCCCAGGTCCCTACCTGCACGCTGCGGGAGAACTGACACCAGTGCCCTGCTGGGGAGCAAGGGGTGGGAAAGGGAAGGCAGCTGGGGCCAGCCATGGCACGGGGTGACCCTGACAAGTGGTGACAGGTCACTTCATTCCTGCCCCACAGCCCGGTCTTCATGGGGCCACGCTGTGAGCTGGAACAGGGGACAGATTTGGCCTTATGGGGAGGAGGTGAATAACAACCACATCCCCAGCACAGATCCCTGCCCCAGCTCCAGCTGCCCTGCGGTGGGTGGAAGATACCACATGGGTCCAAAGCTGCAGGACACAGAGTCCTTCTCTCCATGAGATTTGCTGACATGGACTTCACAAGCAGAGCAACTGCCCTTGTTATCTGTGCCCAGGTGAAAGTGCCCGCCTCACATCCAAGGCTGCATTTAGACAGATGGAGCTAATTACCTGGAGTACGAGTAAATTAGCTTTGAGCGTGAATGCATTTTAAGACACTAATTGGTGTTAAACTGCCAAGAGATCCTGCCAATAGTTCTCCATCCTCTGTGTTACTGGCCCACACAGCACTCCAAGTGCTTCCACACCCAGGATTCAGGGGGAATCTCTCCCGTTATTGACTGTTCAGTGGAGACTTAGGTTCTCCCTTGAGATTTTCACTGACAATCCCAACTTGTTGGACACAAGTACTGGAAATCCCTAGTAGGAAAAAGGGAAACATTTCCCAACCTTTCTTCACCTGCTCTGTGCAAATCTTGGCCCAAGGCTCAAATCCTCACTGTACTACTCAGTGACTCATCAAGAACAGCAAAAGAAATGGGGCTGGTGTTCAGGTGCTGTTTAAAACCTTGTGTGTCATTTTATCTTAAGAAAAAGCAATGGCAAATCTGGGCTGTTGTGGAAAACTCGAGTTTGCCAGCTGCAAGACAGAGAACTAGGGGATCTGAAGCTTTCACTGAAGGGAGCAGGAGGTGCTGATGGGATGCTGCAGAAAAGTTATCAGATGAGATTTCTCCATCACAAGGAAGCAGAAAAGGTTGGAGCCCAATTTGTCCCTTTTTCAACCCACGGTCCAAAAGGGTTGTGAGGAAATGGGCTTTTCTGCTCACCGGCACATGCAGGAGCAGACAGGGCAGGGTGAGAACATCGCTCTGATGCATATTCATAATTGTCAGGGTGAAAAAGCTGCTTCAGAGTATTTAATTTCACAGCTAAAGAAAATCCAATCTCAATGTGCTTTCTATGATGAATGTCCTTAGGAGCCCACCTCTCCCTTCCCTGTGTGCCAAAGCATTTTAATTGATGCTAAGGTTAAATTTATTAGAAAACCACCAAGTTATTAGGCCCACAGTATGACACTGTGGGTGTGGAAAGAGAAGGCGGGAGGAGGTTTTGCTACATATTCATCAGCTTCTAAGTTTCTTTTCAGAATTTCTTGAGAAAGTGACTCTTTCTTTCCCCTTAACCACCAACAGATCACAAGTGGCAGAGCTCCCCAAGGCACATTTTGGATGCAGACACTAAGCTACGAGCCCTTGGGATAAATGCACACACCATCCGACTAGCTCTGTCTGGGGCACTGAGTTCCACCACTTGTCCACACACGTACCTTCAGGGCTGCCTGTTCTGACCATCCCTCCACACATCAGGCCACAAGGAAGGGACCTGCAGTTTCTGGTGATGAGAACCCTGCAACTGTGCAAGCTGGTGAGACCCTGCCGAGGGGTGAGAGTGCTGGAGACATGTCCCAGGCCACAGAGTGGCACCCGGGAATGGGACTGGGAATCACTCATCCTGAGAGCAAACTGGTGCTGGGAAGAGTAAATCCAGCAGGAGAGGAGGATGTTGAGGTGCTGGAGACTGGCACCCCCCTTGTACTACAAGTGAGCAGGAGGACACAGCGCTGGTGGTGAGAGGGTGCTGTTGGGTTCATCTCTTCCACAGGGCACCCTGGAGGCTAAACGTTTCACAGCACAGTGAAAACAATCTCTCTTACTCTCCTGTGCTCTCTGGAGGGTAAAGAGTGTCCGTGGTACAAGAACAGGTGATTTATACCTCCCTGTACCAGACTCTGGCCATGAGAATGACGTCCTTCATTAACCTAATTGGAAACAACCTTTATTTAGGGCTGAGCAAATCATTCCTGAAATTCTCATAATGCATAGCTCTCCCCTAGGCCATATTTCATTCTTCCTCAAGAGCCCTTGGAAGCAGGGAGGCTGAACGCAGCACACACACACACCACCTCTCTGAGATGCTTCAGCAGAGCTTATGTGTGTTAAGAACATGGAGCCTGGGAAAAAGGAGGGACTGTGGTCACACAGCTGCACTGGTGACGACACGGGGCAAGGCCCAGCATAAACAGTCTGGAAGGAATTGTTCCTGCTCCTCAGCGTGCATGCACACACGCAGCAAAGGAAGGAGAGAACTGGCAAAGCTTGCAGGACTTTATTTCCTTCACATCCCTGGCAGGTCTCCATCCTGCAATACATCAGGGGACCTACAAGCGTCCTGTGAGATCAAGCTGGCACAAGTAACAATAATCCGGGGGAGAGAAACTTCTATTTCTGACATATTACTGGGGATAGGCCTTATTTTTATGGTTGTGCTTGAGCTGTTTGTAAAGCACACATCTCTCACTGTAATACAGAAAATGATAAAAATGCACCTCTTGCACTGATAGATAGGCTGATGTCATTGACACACAGACAATAAATCAGTTTTATAGAAATATGGAGAGCTATCATTTTTGTGTCTGAAAGTAAATCATAAACTAGATCCTGTAAACTTACTGTAGCTATATGCGGTGCACAGGCAACTGAAGCCAGGATCAGTATGAGAACTATTGCAAAAATCTCAGATTTCCCCTGCTGCTTTCACTGGGGGCTTGTAAAGCCTTTCCCTCCCAGATGAGTTAGAAGGGCGTGTACTTGTCTGAGCTCCTCTCTGAGGGGGATGCTGGGACCTCTTCACACCTGGCTGCAGGAGGTCTTTACCCTTGTGGAAACAAGACAGTGAGTAACCTGCTTCCCTGCCAATTCACAAACCTGTTCTGGTTCTGCTTGTCTGCCTGAAACCTGCCCAAAGCCTCCCTCTCTCTGAGCTGCTCCCTCAGGTGAGTGTGTGACGAGGGGGAAGCTTGCAGAAGCCTCCCCGCTCTGCTGTCATGTTTAGTGGAGGGTCACAAGCTGCAGAAGCATCAGTGCAGGTACTAGACACATCCACACTCATTTCTGACAGAAACAGCTGCTGGAGTTTTCTTCCAACTCAAAAAAATTTCAAAAACATTTCTTCAAAAACATGACTATGCTCAATCAAGACTAAATCTGTAACTCCTCTGGGAGGGACTTCAGACAAGATTGTCTCATCGGGGGTACCCAGCCTGCACAACGCAGCCCCTTAAAAATCAAACTGCTTGGCCACGTAGTCTTTGGGCACACAAAGCTGCTGCTGAATTTGATTTAAGCTCCATTGCTCTGACTCTGTTCTGAGAAGAGACAGACTGTGAAAGCTCCTTTCCCCTCAATTTAATCAGACTTCAAAATGAGATGAAGTTTTCCAAGCAGCTGCTGCCACAGGTACATTACCAGGAAACCCTCGTATTCTTCATCCCAGACCCTATCCTTGTGTTTGCGGGAAGAATCAAATCTCAACCTAGATCTCATGTCCATATCTGGTACCTGGGAGGACACTGGGAGGGCTGGACTGGCCTGATGCCACGCACCGTCTACCTGAAAAAACACACATTTTATTTTGTGTGACTGTAGGTTTTGCCCTTTTCCTCTCCAGACTCGGACAGTTGCTTTTCTTCAGCCAACGTGCCACAAAGCCAGAGCCTTTCCTGGAGAGGAGAAGGAAACCTGATGAGCCTGAAAAC